TCGTTTTATCATTACTTTATTTCGTTGTTCGCAAATTCTTGAAATACGTTCTCCAATATCAGGACATGGTTCTGGAACTGGATATAAAATATAACCGCGTCCAAGAGAAACACGTCCTGACATTGGAGAACGTATTACAGAATATGCGAACAACGAAATAAAGTAATGATTAACGGTTAGAGTGCTATCATAGTCATTACAGACCCATTGATATAGTATGACAGAAGTAGCGCGAAAACGACTGTGCCGCGAGTCATTGTCTATTAAAACGATAATGGAAGTATGATCATGCGCCAGGCAGGAGGAGGCCCGCGGGATGCTAGGACGGAGGGGGGATCACCGTTCGTAGATGTATATGTTGTTGTGTATATGTTGTGTGTGAAAGGGGAGGGGGCTGGCTGGCTGGCTGGCTGGCTGGCTGGCTAGCTGGCTGGCTGGCTGGCTGGCTGGCTGGCTGGCTGGCTGGTTGCTAGCTGGCTGGCTGGCTAGCTGGCTGGCTGGCTGGACAATCTGTAATACACAAATTAAAAACGAATGTGTACAAATGCAATCCAACGTTGCATATATTGTTATGCTACATTTTTATGTTATATATTCTTACCTTATATCGTAGTGTGGGAATGCTTCGTAGAACGGCGAGAGCGATGCCTCTTGAGTGAGGTCTTCAGCGCTCGCGACGTCGATGAGACGGCTGCCACCGCTCGCCGTTGCGTCACCGTCATTAGATCGGCGGGGCACTTCTCTCAGAAGCATAGGCGGCGGGACACTTCTCTTTACCGTCCCGCCTGGCCAGCTACGAAGGGGTGTGTGTGAATCCTCCCCCGCCTCCATTGCACCTCTTTTCACAGATGCGGGGAACACAGTATTCTGAGAAAAATAACAAAAAATATAAAAATATAAAATAAAAAGGAAAAAAGAAAAAAGTTTTTTTCAGACTTACCGTTGTCATTATTTGAGTCTCCAGCGAAGCTGTTTGAAGACGGCGTCGACGCCACCGTCGTCGTAGTCGTTGTCCCCGTCGTCGTCGTCCCCGTCGTCTTCACAGTTGGCGACGGGGACGCTGGCAAAGCGTCGAACGGTTTTATGTGTTCAAAGTCATCCCCATCGTCAACTGTGAAGACGACGGGGACGACGACGACGGGAACGATGGTGAAGGCACTTTGCACTGAGAACGGTTTTTTTCGAAATACCGTTCTCACAGA